AGCTTGTCAGACTCCTTTGTCATTCACCTGGGCTTCTGCCCTCCCTACTCTGACCACAGCTTAGGGACTTCTTCCCAGCCTTTGCCTCCACAGGAGACCCCATATCCACCCTAAGACATCTGGTGTCACATTTATCCACAGATAAAATATAGAATTTCCTTTCCTCTTCATGCTATAAAGATAGAGGCATGAAAGTCACCAGCACAAGTACAATTCAACTTTCTGAGTTTATCTTTGGATTTCTCAAGCTGAAGCAATAAAGGCAAGACAGTCCTGCCGAGGTTCCGGGAACCCAGGCTTCAGAAGTGGGTGCTGTGAACTCCCTGTCAAGTCTCAGGACAAAGGATTGCCACTGTGGACACATTCTTGGAGAACATGTTCTTGGAGAACATGTTGGCTGATGTGGGTGCTTGGTTTTCTATTTGTCAATGACTGGTTTGTCAGTTTGATTACACAGGTCATCCAACTTTGACCTTCTCTATCCTTTGCTGGGAAAGTAGACCCTGGGCCACCCCTCCTTCCTAAGGAAAGTATGATCTAGAAGAACAAAGCTATTTCAGCATACAACTTTCCTATAATCCAAGAGAAAACATCTATTTTGATGAAGGGGGTCCCCTTTTGGATTTACCCCCTGTAAGGGGCAGGAAGGGCCACAGGGCAGGTTTTCTATGATCCCAAGCAGACAGGGTAAAGGAGGAGAGAGTCCTGGAGCCCTCAGTGGCTTTTGCAGACTTTTATTGGGATTTAGCAGGCATATGGCAGGCAGGAGTGATGGGGCGCCAGCCCCCAGCAAGTCTTCACTCTATCTGTGCTCTCCGGCGTTCTCCTGCATTCTCTCTGCTTCTCTCGTGTTTCTGCTTCTGCTTCTGCTTGTCTGCTTCTCTTCTTCTCGTCCATTTGTTCCCGTGATGCCGCCCTTAGAAGCCCAGTCTCAGCCCAGGTGAATCCCATCTACATAGGCCCACACCCTACTCCAGGTGCCTGCCATCAGGCATGCATTCGGGACCCCAGGGTTCCGTCATCCATCCTAATGGCGGGAGGGCAGAAAAGCCTGATACTTTTTACCCTACCCTACACCCCAGCACCCCAGGCAGCCTTTCCTATTCTAAACCTTCTCTGCAAATAGCCACCCACCTTTCAGGAAGCCCTGCCCCTGCACAAAGGAAGGAATTCCAGGATCCATCCCTTCTCCTGCCAATAATTCATACCCTGAGTCATTGGAAAGAAGTTGTTCAGTGAGTCATTATAATGGCAAATCTGAGCTTTGTCTGGAAGGAAGCCAGGGGGGTGGGCTGGGAGACTCTGCTGTGATTGCCATTAATGTCCCAGGTCTGCAAATTGTCCTTGGGGACAGGGCTGTGATGTGGTCTCAAAGGGAGGGCAAGGAAAGGTCTGACCCTTCCTGTGAAATCTCCTGCCCCATGGGACTTGCAGGGAGTCACTCACTCTGGTTTTTACAGCTGACTAACTGGATAGACCACCCATGTAGCAGACACACCTCCATAGGACCAACATCTGTGCTCAGTTTACACCCACAATAAGGGAGGGAATATTTTCCTAATACTGACTCAGGCTTTTCAAGATGCTTCCTGCTCCTTGGCCAGCAAGTCACGAGATTATAGAGAGAAGTGTTTGTTTCCTTTTGTGCTCTATCCCCCTTCCTAACCTCCATCTTTTGGACTCCCAGGGACAAGGGAAAACACTAATCTGTCAAGTCATATACCTGTTATTGTCCTCTTCCAGGAAGGGGCTAAGTCAAAACTTCCTTGTTCCAGTCACCCTGTCAAAGGAGGCCGGATATAGAAAGAGGTGCTGTAAAATAATAAGCTAGCAGAGAAGCAAATACAGCTCTTGAGTTCTGTTTAGAACACCCTGGATTCAAGTTTCCCAAGTGTCCCAGCAGTTAAGATATTTAGTAGATTACATGCACAGAGCCAAAATCAGGTAACTATAAAGACTATATGGTTTCAGGCAAATGTAATATTCTATATTTACTTGGGTCACCAAGTAAAATCCCTGAGTATTTCCATAAATGCAAAAACAAGCAGCTACCTTGCTATGTACTCTTCTACTTTCTCCAGCTTCTCTAAGGTTGACCTCAAACAAAAGCAATCAATTATTCTAACAACAAACAGGATTTATTTGAAAACAAAACAATAAAAGAGAGGTAAATTGAAGAGTGTGTTCACCCACAGGAGGGGAAAATGGCACCATTCTTTGTGGGAGAGGCAAAACATTCTGGGTGCTGTAGTTTGCTGATTTATGAATGTCTAGGCACTCTCTAGCCTCCCTACCTCTTTTAAATGGGGTCCTGAATATTAATGTTGACAGTAATATAAGCCAAAGCTGCATAATAAACACAAACAAGGATAAAACCTACTACCCACATACATATCTCTGCCAAAAACCAACATAGGGACTACTCAAAGTTCTCTGGGCTAACAGTTATTTTTCTTTTTATCCATTTGACTTAGTGGTATGTCTCTCAAAGATAGTATGCAGAATCATCTGGAAGGCTTGTTAAAATTGTTGCCCCATGGACCACTCTGCTCAAGAGATCTAGAGTGATTCTGAAGTAAATGGTGAGTCCCTTCATAGTTAACCGTGGGTGCCTTCAGAATTAACCCTAGTTAATCCTAGTTAACCCCAGGTGCTCTTCATAGTTAGCCCTAGACAATGTGAGCTGGTAGAACTGTAAAAAAAAAAAAAAAAAAAAAATTTATTCCTAAATGGTTAATCTGCCCTCCTGGGGTGCCAAACTTTCAACAGAAAAAAAAAAAAAAACAGACAAAATCTATTCTAAGGAGTAACCATATAACTAGAAGATTAGGACTATACCATAGAAGGAAACACAATGCCAGAGAGCAATGCAATCCAATGCTGTGCTTTGTGCAGGTACAGACTGATAAAGTAAGTACATTAGACTGGCTCACAAGATACTTCCTGATTTTCTGAAGTTGAAGAAAATTCAGTGGGCTTTAGGTCAAGTCTGAGACCTTGCTTATATTACTCAAAGGAACATATTCATTCAGCAGGTTGTAAATGATGCCTTTGTCCTGCCTTTTTTTTTCTTTGCATTCTATTTACAATTCTCAAGAAGAATTTTAATAATTCATGAACTTTAAATATTCTATGGGTACATCTGTTTATCATTCACTTATTAAGTAAAATTTTATTGTGGACAATGAACAAAGACACAAAGATGGTTGAGACAAACCCTTGCTCTCACATTCCTGCAAGGTAATAGAGATGAAAGAAAATTAATCAAGATTAGGTCTCAAAGTATTCAAGAGGAAGTCACCTTGGGGAGGCAGGGAGAGCCAGTCTGAACTGGGTCTTGAAAGCTTAGTCGTTTGCCAAGAAGCCATCAAGAAGAAAGGAGAGACAAAAGACTAAAGAAACTTGGAGACACGAACTCACATGGCAAGTAACCAGGATATGGGACATTAGGAGACACTGACTGAGAGAAAGATTTAGACTTCATCCTAAAGGCATTATGTATCCATTTGAGGATTTTTAGCAGATGTATTGCAATATAATTTGCTTAAAGATAAAAGGGTGAGGGGGCATGACATGTCCAAGGAGGGCAGTGCAAGTGACGGGTCTATATTCAGAAACATTCAAGGGCAGGCTGGACAGTATCAATGACTACCTAGATGATAGCAGATACACAGATAAGTGAATCCATGATAACCTCCGTATGTGTGATGTACATAGCTGAGAATATGGGTTACGAGTAACCAAGCTAGCAGAGAAGCAAATATATTTCTTGAATTCTGTTTAGGACAACTTGGGTTCAAGTTTTCTGGGGACCCCAGCAGTTAAGATATTTAGTAGACTACATGCATGGGTGCAAAATCAGAGAGATATGAAGAAAATATGGATTCCAGCCAATATAATATTCCAATATTAATAACCAGTAGGGATAATCTGACAGACATTGAGCAGTCAAAACAGGTGCCTGATGACCACAAAGGATTACAGCAATAAACAACTAGTACGGCCCTGTGTGTGCACCCAACCAAATGCCACCTTGGCACTGAAATCATCGGAAGAGGATAAGACCCCTCAAGGTAAGCAGAGGAGCGCAGTCACCTACAATGGGGTGGCCCCAAAGGAAAAGAACCTGGAGGAGGACAAGAAGAATAGTCAGGTGGGAAAAAACAAGAAAGGTGTCTTATCTACAATATCTTTTTCCAGGATGCTGTTGGTGTGAGTGTCTATCTACAAGGAACTGTGACAGTGTGCAAACAGTGCTGGGTGGTCCCAGCAACAACACAGTCTCATAGCTCACGGGTGGGGTGACCCTGCACGAATTAGGAACCCAGAAAGAAGTTAAGTACTTCAGTAAACTGATTCTTCCCAGCAGCAACCTTCCGCTGAAGATGGCGACCCCAATCATGCAGAAACCCACTGGGGCTGCAGAAAGGGAGGGACTGGAGGTGTTACAGGGCAAATCCCGACATAAAACTGGTTGCCTGACTGTGGGTTGTCACCGGAGCACTTAAAGGGCACTTATGAATGCTAAACTGCAGACATACACAAAAGGTTGATAAAAAGTTTATTTACAAGGGAAGGGGAAATGAATAACTCAGGGAGAAAAAGAGACAGATACGTTCATAAATGCGTCCTACCTGGGCCGCTGACCTGGAATCTCAATGACCCGCCCAGGCGGCAAGAAAACTAGCACACCAGTGGCCAAGAGGGTGAGCCCCGACCACATGGCCAATTAAATACTCAAACCAGAGCCTAGCTGCTTAACTCCGCCCTCAGGTCCTGCAACCTTCCCTCTGGTGATCATGGGATTTGTAGTTCCCAGTGTCGTGGGGGGTGGCGTCCACAAAGCCTCTATGGCGTTTGCTCAGGACATCCTTTCCCCCTAACAGAGGGAATACAAGCCCCACGGAGGGTATTTCCCACGTGGCATCACCTCACTGGGCAGCTCGTCCATCAACCATCTTCTTCCTCCTCTGGCAGAAAACACAGAAGGACACACTCACCCGCCTGGACCCAAAGGAAGACTCTCCGATTTCCCGACTATAGAAACATCAGGCCTGTGCACTCTCTTCCTGTCACCTTTCTCCACTTCAGTGTCGGTGACACAGGAATAAAAGCAAATCCCCGACACCTGCCTCGAATGCAGCTCCCATCGCACTGGGCAGTCTGCAGGTTCGCTGAGAATTTGAAAGAGAGGCAGACACGGAATCGGGCTTGATAGTGACTGAGAATTGCCTGCAGAAACAAAAAGGAGTATCAGTCACACTGTGCGATTATCAGGGGGCGAAGATTTCGTCTTTTTAAAAGAGGTAAAAAAAAAAATGTAGTGTTCTAGGTAATGGGAAAGAACGCTTGTTCAACGCTGGGAAAGAATGCAGGGTTTAGGTTTCCTGAATCTTTCAAGAGGGGCGTAAAAGTTCTGAGCGCTAAAATTCATGGTTATTCGCGATGCGATGGCACTAATGTTAAAATAGGACTTTTAATTTCAATCTTATCGGGAAAAATCGGGCTTTGATTCCCTTTAAACCAGATACCCACCCCCCAGCCACCCCCCAACACGCGCCTCGGCGGGGCGCGGCCCACGTGGCGGGCTGCCTCGCGCGTCCCGCCCGCGTGTCCTGACCTTCGCGGCCGTGAGGCGTGACCGCGGCTCCATCCATCTCGGGCAACCAGATGCGGCCGCGTGCGGCCGCCTGGCACTGCCCGGAGCATGCTCAGTCGGGTCCTGACCCACTTCTGCGGGTCCGAGCTGCGGGGACCGGGTCGGGGGCGCGACCCTGTCTCCGTGCGCGGGCCCGACCGCGGCAGCGCCGGCGCAGGGCCAGAGCAAAGCCTCCCTCCCCCCGGCGCGCGCCTGGCGCCTCGGCGGGACGTGCCCGCTGGGCTGCAGCAGCCCCGGGAGCGTCGCCGTGTGAAACTCCATCACTCCGCGTTTTCGGAGCACCCGAGGAGGAGCGGGCGGGCCGGGAGCAGGAGCCTGGAGGGGCGTGTCCAGGGGCGGCGAGGGGGGCCCGGGAGGAGGGGCCTGGTCCCGCCCCAGAAATTGACGGCCTCGCTCCTCTTTTTCTTTTTTCAAGGGGCGCTTCCACTGCAGGGGTGCTGCTGCCAAAATCCTCCAGGCGCCTTGTTTCTGTGTCCTCGTAGCATAACCTGCCGTTTTCATTTTCAAAGCAACACAGTGCGCATTCGGGAAAACTCACACACACAGCCAGACGCGCGCGGAGCCTCCCCCCGGAGCCGCGCCGCCGGGTCCCCGCGCAGCCCCCCGCGGGGCGTCGGGACCGACAGCGGAGCCCCGGGAAGGCAGCGAAGCTTTGGGCTGCCCAGTGGCTTGACAGTGACCTTGGAGACGGGGTAGGTGCGGCGGCAGGTTGGCCGGTTCCCTCGCGCGTCCCAGGCTGGGGTCCCGGGAAGCCGCTTCCCGGGTGTCCCCAAGCGACCGGGCGACGCGACGCCGGGAAAGTTGGGGGAAGCCGGGCCGGGCGCCCCGCCCCGACAATGATCAGCCGCGCTTCCCCAGCCCGGCCGCGTCGGAAGCGAGCGGCCTCCGCGGGGACAATGACCCCCGCGTGCTCCGCGCAGCCCGGGGCTGCCGAGTCCCGCCCCGGGGGCGGAGCGCCCGGCCGCGGCCCCCCGCGGGCTCCGGCGCACCCGCCGCTCCCACGGGCTCGCCCGGCGCCGCCCGCTCCGCCCCGCGCGCGGCCGCCGCGAAAACCCGGTGCCGCCGCCCGCGCCTCCGCGCCCGGAGAGCCGCACTGGGCATGCTCGGCGCCGGCCGGCTCGGGCTCGGGCTCCCGGAGGTGGGAAGCCCCGCGCGCCCCGCAGCCCCGCAGCCCGCAGCCCCGCAGCGCCGGCGGAGGCGGCTCCCCCGCGGCAGGCGCCGCCGGGCGTCGGGCGCGGAGCTCCGCGCGGCGCGGCGCCCGGGCTGGAAATGGCGAGGGGCGCACGGCGGGCACCTGAGCGGCGCGGCGGTGTCAGGTTAGCGGGGGCGCGCGGCGAGCCGGGGCGCCGGGGGCGGGCGGGCGGCCGCGGAACTTTCGGGCGCCTGGGCTGGCGGCGCCCGCGGAGGCGGCCGTGCGCTGGGGGCGCCGCGGGTCCCGGCAGGGTCCCAGCAGGGGCTCCTGGGGCTCGCCGGAGGCGTCCAGATCCGCGTGGCTCGGGGTCTGCCACGTCTCGGGCTGTGCCTTAACCTCCCCGCGGCGAGGAGCGCTGCGCCCACCGCGCCGCCGAGGACGCCGCCCGGGCTGGCAGCCGCGGTGGCCGTCGCCGGAGCCCAGCTCGCTCGCATCCCCGTGCCTCGCTTTCCCCGGCACCCGGGAGGGTGTTCGGGCCCGGGCCCCAAGGGCCTGGGTGCGGGGTCCGCGTTCCTGGCGGGTGGAGCCCCGCGTCTGGATGCTGCAGGAGTGCGGGAAGCTGCGGGCGCCGCGAGCCGCCGCCTCGCGACTGGAGCTGTTGGAGTTTGTCGCATTTGACTCCATAGCAAGTTGGCATCGAATTGCTTCGTGGTGTGAAATGGGGAAACGTGCTTCATAGGTTTAAAAAACAAAGTAATTGCAAGGCCCATTTATGTTAAGCTTAGCCATTTACAGCCAATATTCCCCTCCATAAACAAAAACAAAACAAAACCCAAAAACCTTGAGATTGCAAGTTGCAAGATTTATAAATGCAGCAAGCAAGCAAAAAAAAAAAAAGAAAAAAGAAAAAAGAAAAGAAATGAGTGTCTGCAGGTCCATTATCTGCTCACGTTGTAGAAATTATCCGCTGTGGTTGAATTGCCATTGTTTTTAAGGATACTGGTTAACAAAAGTTTGGTTACTGTAGCAGTCTTTGTTTTGCGTTATTTTAGCTTTATATTCAAAACTTGGAAACCTAGCCTCGCTGTTGCTCAGGCACAATGTTTTTTATAAAGTTTCTCACTTTCGTTTCTACATGAAACACATTTTTTTTTTCAGTTGCTACTATGCTGAACGTAGTAAAATTGCACAGGGTGAAATGCAAAATGGAAGATTTATTTCCAGACGAGTAACTTAGAACAGTGTTCTTCTAGCATTTTACTTTTACAGAAAATACAGTTTGTAGGTCCCACTGTGGCCTCTCCTATCTGTTCTTAAAATATTCGGTACCATTACTGCTCTTAGGATTATTGGATCCTACAGAAACAAAGCAAACAATGCTTGTTCTAGTGGGAACTAGTTCTACCTCTAACTAAAGCAAAATTCCCAAGCTCGCTTCTATAAGTACCACTTAGTGGGTTCAGTTATTTCATTTATCAACCTCATTACCAAATTTCTTGTTTGCCTTCTTGATAGCCCTTAATAGACTTTCAGGTGCATTGACTTTTCACTGGGCTGTGAATAGCTTTTAACGTTTGTTCTTGCCAGGGATGGCTCCAGCTCTCATTCCAAATGCCCTGGGTGATTTTCCCAAGTAGATTAGATGCTATGCTTGTATGGAGCTGAGATTTAATAACAAGGAAGACTTGAAATGTCCCGATGACATCATCAGCGTGTTTACAATGTCTGCACATTAAACCTGCAGTCCCCATTTTAGCCAAATAGTTTGGTTGGTGGCATTTGTTGCTCCCCCTGAATGTATTTCTAAGTACTTTCATAGAAAAATGAAGAAGTCTGAGGAAACCCAACAGAGATATTGAGAAATTGTGGTTCTATAAAAATGCCTCAAGTTTAAAATCTGCATGAAGTCACATGACTGTGCACCACTTGTCCTGGTCACCAGGCCCTGTGCTCTCAGGCTGCAGCCATAAGTGGAAGTCAGCATGTTTTCCCCGAAACCTTGAGTTCTTCCTGCCCTAGAGGAAGCAGGGACGTCTTAGTTTCCCCTTCAAGAATGTGAGCTTGAGTGTAGATCAAAAGGCTCCCTTCTGGATCTAAAAATCCTATTATTTCAGTATTAGAAAAGATCATGAAACTTAACAAAAGACATATTCAAATACTGAAGAACACCACTTTCTCCTAATCTAAACTAATAAAACTATTGAAGAGGGGCTTATTATTGCTAATGAAAAAAAAAAAGTAGCAAAGTACACCTTGAAATTCAGATTAGGAAGCAGCAGTAACCTTCCTTTTGTACCTGTGAGTGCTTACAACTCAACTGCTAGGCATGTAATTGTTAGTTTTATTTCCATGTCTTTAGATTTCTATACTGTATGACATTAGATATTCATAGAAAACTACAACCTTTAAAAATAGAGCTTCCCCATCCGTGTGACCATAATTTATTCAACTCTTTGACTCTGCAATTTAAATACTGGAGGCTATTTAAACTTTGCTTAATATGAACTTTTCTCCTTTTTTTTTTTTTTTCCCAAACAAGAACTTCCAGATGCTGAAATTCCAAATATATACTGTGGCAAAACTGATTTAACCTCTAAGGCAGCCCATCAGATTTGTTACATGAGTGAGTGTCTTTTTTTTTTAAATTCAGAAATAGTGCAGATATTATCACCTACCTAATTAAACTTCGAATCAAGTACTTGGGGTGCAGCCTGCCCTTTTCTAGCCAAGCCCAGGAAACTTGGCAATGTTCTATGATCCATGGTGAATCTCATTAATGATAGAAATAGCCTTAGAAGCAAATGGTTGATTTTAAATTAGCTGTATTACCTTCCTGGAATTGTTAAAGGATTAAAGAGATTTCGTTGATTATACAATAATATCCAGTTAAGAGCTGTCAGAACTGGTTTCTGAGTTATACTCCAAATAGAAGTAGTATGAATTTATGGGTCATGCTTCTCCCCCCACCCCCAGCCCCCAGACTTTACTCATTAAAATATAACATTCATTTTTTTCCCCACAATCTTTTATAGTTAGGCCCCAGAGGCTGTAAAAGTGACTAAGACGTATGAGTCACTATCTAGTCAGAGAGACATGCTTGAGGACAAATAAACTGCAGGCCAGAGTAAGTCCCGGGAGAGGTGTATGTACATGACACGGGAGACAGAAAAGAAGGGTCCCTTAAGTTGGAGAGGGAGGGGATTGCCCTGAAAATACCGACATTTCTGTGGGATCTTAAAGAATGCTGAAGAATTGAGTGGCCATCTTCTGAGCAGAGAAGTGGACTCCCCAGGCAAAAGGAACACTGTGATGGTAGTAAAACAGTAAGGATCCCCCAGAAATGTCCAATTTAGGATTTGCAGATGAGGTTCTTGAGAGAGATTCTTTGGGATTATCCACTGGCCCAGTGTAACACAAGAGCCCTTGTAAATGAAAGGGAAGCAGAAGGCCATGTCACTATGAGGCCTGTGAGAAGGACTCGACTGACTGTGCTGAAATGGAAGGGGGGACCAAACCAAAGAATGCAGCCTCTAGAAGTTGCAAAGGCAAGGACACGATGTTCCCCTAGAGCTTCTAGAAAGAACACAGACATGCCAGCTCCTTGATTAGTCCATTATGACCCATGTTGGACTTCTAACCCACGGATCTGAAAGGTGATGAGTTTGCAACAGAGCAGTAGAAAGGATCCAGAGAAGCTATGCAACCATATACTGGTATTTCAGAATAATGGGCAGGGGCAAAAGGGGGACAAAGTGGTCTGCATTGTGATGAATGCGGTGTCATGCAAAGGCATTTGGATTTTATCCTATTGTAGATAAACAATGGGGAACCAGCTAAGGATTTTTAAACAGGAACATGCAATGAACAGACAACTTGCCAGATTTATCTTCCTAAAAAAGCCATGCGTAGCTAAACCCAAGTTTCATTGGGCAGCTTGACAAAAGTTGTATAACCAGAGGTGGTCAGCGGCAGAGAGAGATCTGGAACCAGTATGTTATTACATAAGTCAGTTCTCTGAATTGATATGAAGTGACATTTGTTTGCATGTGTGAAATTAATAGCCTCAAAAAACAGTCACAATTCTTCAGAAGGACAGAGAAAGTAAAGCAGAAGAGCCAAGTTTATGTGACCACTTTGTATCTGCTCATTATCCTCTTCATAGGCAGCTGCTCTGCTGGCTCCCTACTGTGCAGAGCAGAGCCGTGAAAGCTCAAATTTGACATAGTTAACTTGAGAGAAATGTGCTGTCACCTGGAACAACACTGACCATTTGGTCAGTGCTACTGCAGAGTTGTGGGCTTCCCAGTTCAACTGGGGAATTGCCACAGTCAGTTGGCAATGCTTGCAGTGGGCTCCATATTTCCCCAGGGATGGGGAACAGCTATAACTTTTTGTTTAAATAGAAAAAATTGAGTCACTTCTTCCTGACATAGTTATTCAGCCCTTTTATGCACAGGGCTTAATGTCTGTCCTAGGAAAACTTTAGTCTGGTTGAATTGACATCTCTGTCTGGAAAACCCAAACTGAAGAAATCACCTACCTTTAGGAGAGTGACTCTGGATTGAAGCTGAACCATGTATTAGAAGGAAAAATAATTTTTCCATAAAAGCAGCTCTTGGCTGGCAAAATCTGATCCTGCAGACAACAGTAAGTCTTGATTAAGACATAATCAAAACAAAACTGTACTTTCTGTCTATATCCTGTAGCTCCCATTTGCATAACTTTGTAAGGTTTGTACGCGGACTTCCTTATGTAATGACGCAGTAATTATTATTTTCCACTGTAAAGGAGGTGCTCCATGTAAACTGTTCTGTCTTCCTAGAATATCTGCCTTGGTCTCTGGGACATGTGCCCTCAGTTCACCCCATGTTTTTTCTTTATGACTCTTTCTCCGAGAGTTTGTCTTTGCCTGGGTTCTAACCTTAACTTGTGGCCCACTGGGCTATGGAGTTTTTCTCATGACCCTGTCACTCACCCATATACTATGTCTCCAAATCCTTATCTTCAGATAAGCCCCTAATCCATTCATCCAGTAACTCACTGATTCATTGAATGACTAGTGATAACCCGAGAGTTTATATTCTCTTGGAGGGACAGATGTGCAAAAAGACAATTGCAATGAAACAATGAACTTATGGGTAGAGGACAGAGAGAAAAGGAACGTCTGGGCTACAGGGAATCCTGGAGGCTTTTGAACCAAGACCTAAAGGCTGAGTAAGGGTTTGCCAGCTGTGCCAGTTTGTGGAAGGCATCAGGGCTGGAGGCATGGAGGGCTTTGGGGGTTACAAGGAGTGCAGGAAAGGTACTTGAAGGGGGAGGAGAAGGCAGCACTCCAGAAATGAGGGCAAAGAGGTGGGTAGGAGCCAGACCATGAAGGATTGAGTGTGTCCCCACAAGGATTTGGCTTTATCATACTGACAAAGTGAAGACATGGAGTATGTTTTAACTCAGAACTTTTAGAATCAGCTGATTCAGCAACAACACAGTATGTGGATTGGAGGCAGGTGAGACTAGAGGCAGGCTGACTAGGAAGGTGTCTGTCATGAAGGGGGTCAGAGAGGAAGCGCATGTAAACCAGGGACAAACCAGGAACTCGGCAGTTCGTGGGCAGGGTAGAAAGGAAGCATCTTAAACAGTTCCCATGTAGTGGATTATCTGTCAGGCACTGCAGAAGGGCAGAAGCTTTCCCCCGTTCAAGGGATTACATGCCAAGCACAGCTCTCAAGGACTTTCCTACTGAGTACAAAACTGCAACAGCAGAGACCAACCTCCACCTCATGTGCTTAATCAGAAGGACTGAAAGCAGAGAAGGGGCAGGCAAGCCCATCCACGGAGCTGTGTGTGAGATAGGAAGTCAGCATTTGATCATCACAGGCCACAGACTTTTAAGAGATCTTCAAAGAAAGAAGGAATTAATTCCCCACAGGTTCTCCAGTTTTTGGACAGAAGCTTTTGCTAATGAGACTGAAAGGAAATTGGTGTAGGGCAGACGACTTCCCTAATTCTAGGGCTAGAAGGTCATTCTTTTAGAGGCTGAGCTGAAGTTGATTCTTTGTAATCAGTGGGAAAAAGGAAGCTTGCTGAACAGATGTTTAAACATAATCCCAACATTTTCCTTCCATGGAGAATTTGAGTTGGCTGATGGTGTCAGGAAGAGAGTAAGGGAAGGCTTTACTCCCTAAGGAAAAAAAATGGGTTGGAGTAAAGTGCTCCTGAATTACCCATCCATGGAGCCCACCCCGTTCAGACAGGGCTGTAGGGCACAGGCTGGGAGAATATCAAATCACTCTCATTGGTTCGTTAAAGCAGCACCTCTTTAAGATGGGATGCACCTGTTCCTGGTTCTGCACCTCTTAAAACTGGCAAGAGCGTGTACTATTTGTGGCAGTGTGGCCCATCTGAAATTGACCAACTAACTCCTTTCTTCCCAGAGCGCAGACTCCCCTGTAAAGAAGTAGGTAGGTGCATAGCAGCTGTGCTTTCTTACAGATGTGAAACCCACTTTCCCTGATCATGGCAGGGGGGCGGGAGAAGAGATCTTAGGTGAGGAGGGGGGAGGAGAAGAAGCAGGTATTTGACTGAAAACTGATTATTGTTTGGGTTTTTTTGTTTTTTTTTGTTTTTTTTTGTTTTTTTGTGGGACCCTCGCCAGTGCCCAGGGAACAAACTGGCGCTGCAGAGGCTGCAGGCAGCCTCACAGCCCAGCACTCAACCGCTGCACCACCAGGGGGGGGCCCAGAAAACTGATTAGTGTTTGATTCCAATCTATACCATGGACATTCTTCCAGGTCTTTTCAGCCCAAGATACCTGGGGTGCTTAAACTTACTATAACCTTTGAGCCTCCTTACAGCAGCTATTGTCAAATTCCTTCAGTAAATTTCTGCCAGCCTACTAAAGCCATGCACTGGGCTGCATTGCCCTGTCACTGGTCATGCCTGTACTTCTGCTCTTACCCTGTTCTGTTCTTTTCCTTCACTATCTTCCCCAAGTTGGAGGGATGGCCTAGGTTTGGACCCTAGATTCCATGGTCTCTGAGTGGGTCTATCTGTTAGTAGATTTCCTAAAGGTAACTTGTTATTCTTCACCTTAAAACCCTTTTGAGGAGACACTTGAAATGAATTTCCAGAAAACATTTGAGTATTACCAGTCCTTTGCTTGAGGTTGTCTCCCTGGACCTGGAGATTTTTGACTCCGTCTTGCCTTTGTAAAGCATCTCATCCCTACATCCAGGTATGGCCAACCCCCCTTCTTTTACTGGGGCTTGAGTTAGTAGATCATTCAACTCAAAGTCCTCATTATCATTTCTCTAAAAGGCCATTATAGAAAACAGCATTTGTGGGGAATGACTTAATATCCCAGAGTTCTAGAAATGGGTATGCACAGCAGAACCTCTGCAAGAGCTTGCGAAAACATGCAGTCACTTGTCACTCAACTTGTTCAGACAACAATGGCCGCCTGTAGGACGGTGGTCCCAGTAGGTTACAGCTGAGAGCGAGGTGTGTGGTCGCCTCTGCCATCGAGATGTGTGTCATTACAGGAAATTGCAGAAGACAAGATGTCTTGGCAAAGTGTGTGTCAGAATGTTACCATCCTAAAGCCACAAATGAATATGCTATAACAGA